CCAAGACCAGACCCGCTTCGGGGGAGGAGACCAAATTGAAGCTGAGATGGGAAGAAAATGCATGAATGAGGCCAAAAATGGCTTTGGCGTGTTTCTTATGAGGAAATGACAATATAACATGATTAAAAGTTCCAAAAGTTTGATTTTTAATTATATGGAACCTTTACAAAAACTGTTCAAGTAACTTCTAACCTCCGTCCGCAATTTTTTAGCTATAACACCCTCTTTGGTTCCAGAATGCTATCAAGTCTGACAACTAGAAGGAATTGGACTGACTCTTATGGAATGGGCGGGGCTGATTCTGGAATGGGCGGGGCTGACTCTGGTGCAGCTCCACCTTCTGGTGCAGCTCCGCCTTTGTGGTTCTGCAGCGAGCACCACTTGGATTGGTTGGGGACAGGCGAGGAGGATGCTGGGTTTGTTCCTGAACTGAACCTATTGAAGAACTTGTTCAGTTCATTGGCTGTGTCCAGGCTGCCATCTGTGCAATCCTTCCTCTGCTTGAAGCCTGTGATCTTCTTCATCCCTGACCAGACATCTCTCATATTGTTCCTCTGTAGTTTGTTCTCCAGCTTCTTCCTGTATGCCTCCTTGCTGTCTCTGATCTTGATCTTCGGTTGCTTCTGTATACTCCTCAATAATTCCCCGTCTCCCTCCTTGAAGGCTCTTTTTTTCTCATTTAGCAGATTCTTCAGTTCATTGGAGATCCAGGGTTTGTTATTAGCAAAGCATCACACTGTTCTGGTGGGTAAGATGTTGTCCACATAGAAGTTTATATAGTCAGTGATAGGGTTGTCACGGTATGAAAATTTAACCTCACGGTTATTGTGACCAAAATTATCACGGTTTTCGGTATTATCGCGGTATTTTTTAAACGGTGTTGCATATGTTCAGAAAGCATTGATAGTCCTGTTCTACACAAACTGAAATAGTTCTGAAAAGGTTTAACAGTGTTTATTAAACCTAAAATAACACAAAGCCTTAGCAAAAGTGCAACTTTTCACAAGTAAAGGAACAAATAGCTTATTTTTCTGGAACATGTTACAGTAGTCAGTGCAGGTTTAAATTATACAAATCCAAACATTCAAAACATAAACAATATGTAAACAAATCAAAGAAACACCACTTGTTTTCTCATATACTTGTTTTCTTCATTATCAAAATGAAAATCTAAAACTCCAGTCCACACTTGACTTGAGCACTGTACAAGTCAACCTTAAAAAATATGTATTTAAAATAAATAGCCACTTTAAACAAATTACTAAAATAACTACTACACTATGTAATCAAATCCAAATGTTCAAGTATAAATGGCATTGAATAAGTAAACAAATCCATGACAAGGAACTAATTGTATATTTCTCTTCATCATCAACAAATAAGATGCTTCATCCAGCAACAGGGTGTCCGTGACACGGTTTAAATGCTGGCAGAGGGCGCTGCGGCTGCAGTATATAGTGACTCGTTGCATTCTCCCTCAGCCAAAAGTCCTCACGTCATGCATTTCAGCTAAAATGCTAATGTTAACTTACCTTGCACTGGCTGTAGAGACGTGGGTGATCGTCACGCAGATGTGCCATGAGATTTGAAGTGTTGCTGCCTTCTGCAGACACTTGTTTCCTGCACGTTCTGCAAACGGGATAGCCGTCTTCTATTAACTGTCCCTCAGCATTTTTCAGAAATCCCAAATATGCCCATACTTCCGATTTAGTCTTCTTTGAGGGCTGATGGATGTCCTGGGCGCTGCCGTCGCCTCCTTCGGCCATTATTTCAGCTTCAAAGTTTTGGTGCCGTTGCAAATTAAAAAGTGCGTGTGCGCGCAGCGGGAACTTCAGCTGAAGCGACGGTGGCTGGTAAGGGTCATCGCGCCGAAACCGCGGCCACGGTAAACCCACCGAGATAATATAGTTTTTTAAAAACTGGACGGTTATTTTTATTGTCAACTTTTTTACCGGGGTTTACCGCTATACCGGTTACCGTGACAACCCTAGTCAGTGACACATCCAATCATAGCATTGATGTCCTCTTCATATCCTTGGCAGAGACTCATCCAATCTGTGGTCTCAAAACAACCCAGCAGGGCTTCTTCAGCATCCTGTGACTATTTTCTCACAATTCTTCTTGTCACAGGTTGCCTCTGAACAAGTGGTTTGTATTCTGAGCAGAGAAAAACAAGATTGTGTTCTGATTGTCCCAGAGGAGGCCTAGTTTTGGACATGTATACATTCTTTACATTTGTAAAACACAAATCCAATGTCTTGTTTTCTCTGGTGGAGCAGCTGACAAACTGATGAAATGTTGGAAGTGCAGCAGAGAGCGAGGCATGATTAAAATCACTAGATAAAGCCACAAATGCATTGGGGTGCTGGGTTTGGGGCTTAGCGACAACGGAACTGATGGCATCAAATGCACTTTCAGCAATGGCTGAAGGTGGAATATAAACGGTTGCCAAGTCAACACTTGTGAACTCTCTTGGCAAATAATATGGGCGAAAACTTACTGCGACAACTGTTGTTCAGTCAGGAATCCTGGCAGAGAGACGCTGGAATCAAGGATATGGTCCTGCAGCCACGTCTCAGTGAAACACATAACACTGCACTGCTGATACTCTGGCTGAGTCCTTGAAAGAGCTTGGAGTTCATCCATCTTGTTGGCCAGTTATCTCACATTGCCCATTATGATCGATGGAAGAGATGGTTTGAATTTCCGTTTTGCTCCCGCTCTGCACCCACGCTTCTTGTGTTTTAGCTCATTTGGGATTTGTGGCTTCAGTTGATGTATTATTTCAGCCTTTCCAATGTTAATCAGCTGCTCCCAATTGTAAACCAGCTTGTTGCCATGGTTACACATCAAAACAAACGCTCAAAAAGTGAAAAAATAGCAGGAAAGAAAGCCAGTCCAACGCAGGGCAACACAGACACACAGGACAAATAATCACACACACTCACACCTAAAGCTTGGTTTATGCATGACGTGTCTGCGAGGTTCGAACGGCTCCGCGCAGCAAAATTGCGTCATTTTAACAACCACGCCCCTCCACCGCGCCTCCACACGGCCCAAACTTTCTGCACCTAGGAAATTTTCTAACCACGCGGACAGTCGGACGCGGAAAAACATGGCGGACTGGCAAGAACTAGTATGGCAGAGGTTCGTAAATACAGACATTTGTATGATTGAGCTCTCAAAGATCACCGTGATCAACATGTTGTTAATAATTCTTGGAGAGAAATAGCTCGCACTGTCGGAACAGACGAGGACGCTGTTAAAAAAGCTGGAATGCCATGTTGTAAACAACAGTAATTTTTACTTCTACTATGGTGTAGTGTTGGATGCATGCTGTAGAGCTCCATGCTGCCCCGTTCAGTTTGGGAGAATATTGGCTTACCGCAGAGACAAGCCGCATGAACCATAAATGCTGCAAGTTGTGATGCGCGTTCCATCCGTGAGCCGCATCACCAAGCGGAAAGTAAATGCGTCAAGCATAAACCAAGCTTAAGGGCAATTTAGACAGACCAATTAGCCTAAAAGTCACATTTTTGGACTGTGGGAGGAAGCTGGAGTACCCAGAGAGAACCCACACATGCACAGAGAGAACATGCAAACTCCATGCAGAAAGATCCCAGGACGGGAAGCGAACCCAGGACCTTCTCGCTGCAAGGCAACAGCTCTAACCACTGCACCACTGCGCAGTGTCATGAGGTTCTTCTGTACACCTGAAATTACAGCCAAATTCAGCATCACACATCTAAACAAATGCTGGAGAAACTGTGGCCCACAGATTGGCAATCACATCCACATATTTTGGACATGCCCAAAACTGGAAGTATACTGGAAGGAAGTAATTGGAATGCTCAATACAATATTTGGTGAAAATATAGCAATGGACCCAATGGTGGCCATACTGGGTCTAATACCAAAAAGTGTTGTTGGAAGAGCCAAAAAATATCTCTTACAGATACTCCTAGCTACAGCACTTAAATGCATTACAATAAAGTGGTTAAAGCCTGAGCCCCCATCACATAACATGTAGATTGAAAAAATAAAGGAAATGTATCAAATGGAACAAATAACATATTCCCTGAGACTTCAAAAACACATATTCAATAAAAGGTGGAGACCTGCTATCGACATACCGGTATAAGGATATTATGTTCCTTTTTTGTTTGCTTGTTTGTTAATTATTATTGTTTCACCTGTCTCTAATTATGTTACTTCTATTTTATTTGTGTCCCTCGGGTATGCCACAATGCTACTCAGTGCATGATACAGCATGTGTAATGAAGACAATTCTGTATGTGATTTATGTGAAACATAAATAAAAATTAGGTAAAAAAAATTTAATTTTACCACAGAGCTGCTGAATCTCACACCAAAATTCATATTCGCCAGGTGTGTGTGTGTGTGTGTGTGTGTGTGTGTGTGTGTGTGTGTGTGTGTGTGTGTGTGTGTGTGCGCGCGCACGCGCTCCTCAAGAAATTAATCAAAATGCAAAACAGTCTCTAGCTTAATTTCTCAGTGTTTATGCAAATAGGTGTGTGTTTCTTTTTCTCCTTCTGTGTGTGTGCAACCAGTGGAACAGTGAGTAGGTGGAATCTGACATGGGCAACAACCAGAGAAAACACACACACACACACACACACACACACAGGATTATTCATGAGAATGATTTGGTTTGCACAAAAAAAGCACGATGATTACTTTTAGGCAAGAACTGGAGTGGAATTCTGAAATACCCAAGGATATTTTCAGGCTCTATGTGACACCTTTCTATTTGTCTCTTGGTGTGTGTTGAATATTATTTCAGCATTTTTTTTAAAAGTAAAGAGAAAAACGTAAACTCAATCTAATCCTGTGTTGTTTTTTTACTGGTGCGAAAGAAAATTATATCAATTTATGTATTTTCTTTCAATAGTAATTAAAATGTATGGTCTAAACTAAAAATGTTCCATAAATGAAGAGAGGTGTTTGAGTAGTTTGTGATTATTTTGTTGTTTCAGTACTTGATGGAGTTTCTGAAGTGGTCCTCTGCAGGATTCTTCACTGTGCAGCTGTTGAGTAACCAGACGTCTGCTTCTGTTGGGTCGTCTGTAGGAACAGGAAGACTTTAGTTACTCTTTGTAGAATAAACACAACATCCACAAACAGTCAAAACATACTGTACAAACATAAAAATGTGGTTCATCACAAAACACATTCAATTATTTTCTTTAGTTATTATAAACCCTTTTTTTTATCTAAATTTGGGACCGAAATGTTTTAAGGTTAGATATTAAATTAGGATACTTTTAGACATCTACCATTCAAAAGTGAAATAATAAGCTACAATTGCCTTTATCTTCTAACATTTAAAGTCCATCTTGTAAGCTGTTTTACAATCATAAACATCCTTCTATTTGGTGGAAAAATAAATTCATCACACTTGTCTGAGTTTGGATAACTCTCAGATGTTATAATTTGTCTTTAGCTGTGCAAAAAGGCTGCCGCAACAAAAATCTAGCAAATTTCTGTCACGTGACGTCGTGAAGTAGCACAAAATTGTGGGTGAATTATTGCTGTGATTCTGGCGACATCCCCTGGTAAAGCTTTGTGTAAACTGCCACTAATGAAGTGTCTTCTCCCTCCTACGTCACTTCCGGTATTTTACCAGAAGGCGTTTTTTCAAGCAGGCCATGAGAAACCCACTTGGAGGCACCAAAACATGCTTTTATAATTACAACTCAGTCGAGATTACATTCAAAAGACTCCTTATCCAGCTATTCAAAAATGCTTACATGGGTTTTGTCATTTTTTGCTGATGATGTTATTTTGTTTTTGTTTCTTTACTCTTTAATTGCTTGATGTTAAAAACACAATCAATTTCAAAAACTTCAAGTTACACAGCAAATTGAAGTGTTACTTTTCCAGAGTTAGAGTATGTAGAGTTATTTTTTACACTGCAGTTTATTAATACTTTAATACACTTCCCGTGTTGATAGAGTGACTCCTGCTGGTGTCAGTTGTTCAAGCAGGATTGGTGAAGAGTTTTTTCCTGTCCTTACTAACTCTCTTGGTGTTTATTTGTGATTGAGTCTCCATGGTTCGCATTTCACGTAGCGCGCGTGCTTAAATGATGTGCGTCTGAGGCCAAAGGAAAGTTTTCGGCGGGACAGCCCTCCATTTTATTTGCAGAGCGGTGGAAGAAACAACAATTTCTCCACCTGAGAGTAAATCTGTGAGGCTTGTTACCAGCATTCAGACATCAATTCTGTTTGCTTCACAGCCAGACAGGACACGGTTAAAAAAGAAAAAAGAAAAAAAAAGAAACAACGATTTTCCAGACAACGCAGCTTACAGGTAAGGCATATATTGATGGAATTTTAATTTCGAAGACAACGTTTAATAAACTGGCTGCTAGAACTGGTACAAATGTCCTCATTATCGCCTGGCTTTTAGTTTAGGAGGAACTAATTTGCCATTTCTAACTAAAGACAATGCAAAATATGTATATACACAACTCCCAATTTTAAAATGCAGTAAATAAATGGCATGGAAGATGTCTTTAACTGAAGCTGTTTAGCAAGAAACCCAGGGAATACTTTATGTTGTATGCCAGCAGTAATAGAAAATGTGCTTTGCAGTGATGGGATGAGCTAATTTAACATAGCTGTTTTTTCCCCAAAATACTAGTTTTCTTTTTGAATTGCAGTTCTGCTGACTCCTGCCTTTACACGCTTTAGCAAACGTGGAAAATGCGTTTATTCCCAGAATTTTTCATAAAGCTAATCCTAAAAACATTGAAGAAAACCTTGAAGACCCAGGCAGTGTCCACTCTAGTGGCGAGCGTGTTTACAAATCAGCCAACCTAGGAGTGCCACTTTATTTTCCGCATTGATGGCGACATTTTCCCTTCGGACTTCCTAAGCTAGGAAGAGTTGAAAAGCAATTCCCTGCCATGGACAACAGAGGGCATTGCGCTTTCCTGAGGTATCATGCCACCATTATGATTGATCGCTGCAGTTCTTCTCCATCCTCAGTCTCGATCAACGTTATTTGAAAAAAAAATGAGTTGACATTACATCCTTGTCTGTTCATGCAGCCAGCCACGCAGCAAGTAGTTACCATTTTATTGTGAAATCAACTAAATAAAAGCGATTAAAGGCTACAGATGGGCTTGTTTTTACTAACTTCACCGGAGTTTCAACGTGTGTAAACGATCTTTTTCAATTCAATTCAATTCAATTCAAAGATACATTATTATTTGCCGTCCATCATGGCGAACGGGGCAGTCCCATAAGTGGCGTGATGTCACATGAAATGGGTCAATACCGACGCAGATGGAGAAGTATAAATCCGGCTCAAAGACTGATAACTGGGTGTTTCTTTGGAAGGAGCCTTGAAAAGCTAAGCTAAGTAGGAGCAATCAATTTCAGTTGGGGAAACAAAATAAATCTGGACTAAAGATGAGAAGGTTTCCACTGTGCAAAGGAATGCATATTAAGGTTATTGCTATATGCTGGCTGCTGTGATTCTTCTTCTTTTTTTTTCCCAGACGATGCTTTTCAAAGTGCAGTATATAGGAAAAAATCGCTATATAAAGCTCAATGCAGTCTCATATTCTACATTACTCAGTCAAGGTATTACATTTTTTTTTTCATTTGGGTTCACCTGCTTAAAATTATACATTTTACTGTTTTTTTATACAAGTTAAATTCTTAATCTTTGAGTAGGCAATGTGTTAAATATTAGGTAAATTTGATTAAACTACAAATTGTATACTTGAATAATTTAAGCTTCTAAAATAATTTCATATGCATTTACAGCCAAGGAGAAGTCTGGCATCCCTGATGATAAAAGGACGTATCCTGTGGATGAAACTGGGACAGAAGTAGATGAGGATGTCTTTACTGATGTTCTGGAAGAGAAATCAGACATTGTCTGGACCCTTATTGATGCCTCTTCTGTAGAGGGTAGCACTGTTAATAGCTGCATCTTATTTTATACATCTAACTAAAAGTTAAAGGTTATTACTGACACTTCATGATTTGTTTTCCCCCTTCTTTAACTCATTCACTGCCACTAGCCACGTTTACATGCGCATATTTAATCGGATTGAATGCCCAATCAGATCGAAAATTCTGCATGTAAACATGTCGATCCGATTCGGCCCGATCGGATTGAAATTTCAATCCGACTGAGAGAGGTGGTTTATTCCATTCATCATTCTGATTGACGTGCATGTACACAGTCATTCGGATTGTTGGGGTAAAATAATGCCCACTGCGCATGTGTGCAACAGCGAGCGGGCCTCTCCGCTGTCATTTGGACTGCCTGACTTCAAAAATGACGGCGTAACTAACGAGCGGCGGCTTTTAAATCCGACGACAAGCCATCCCCGTTTGAGTAATATTTAATTGAGAACTTGCATTTTGTGGAAGTAAAATAAAAATCTGATTATTGCACTAATCATTCGACAAACATGTTCAAATCCGTACTGGAAATACGCAGGTTTATTGCGGGGGTTGCAGCGCACGGATCCCCGTTTCTGTCAGCTTTGAACGCAGCAGCTTCTGCAGCAGGTGATGGAGACGCCCTTGTAAAGAACACAGGATAATATGGGTTTTACAGACCTGATTGGCGGCTGATGTTGGGTAGGAAAACGTCCACGGTTAAATACTCAGGACGACAGTAAAGTCCGTGTTAAAAGCACGTAAACGCAGATGACCTGAGATGTGGTTCGTTAATGATGAACACAGGCTTCTAAAACTTTCTGAACATCTTCTGTTATTTTGTTTGAACAGATTTTTCTCAACAGTTTCAGCTGATTGTCACATTATTAATAATAAGCCACAACAGAGCTCAGTAATAAAACATGAGTGTAACCCCCCCCCCCCCCCCCCCGCTCTGTGCCACAGCGCAACAGCACAGCTGTCACTTCAAACCCGCGGACGAGCTGATCAAGAGGCAGCGACATAACCCTCCCTTATTTTAATCAACAATAAAATGCAGCAAAGCCTATATCTGCAGTTATTCACTGAAGAAAACATAACTTTTATGAGCTAAATAAAAATATTAAATTGAATAAATTGATCAGGAAAGCAGGAAGAATAGTTATTTCTGTTTTTACATTTTTCATTTCGTTTCATGGCGTTTGTTTACAATTTTTCTTTCGGGAAAGGCAACTCTGCGCATGCTCAACCTATTTATTCGGATTAAATGCTTGGTGCATATGTACGCACGGCATGATCGGATTATTTCAGTTCGTGTCCATGTGGACAGAGATTCGGAAATTCCGATCAACCAAGATTTCAATCGGATTGAGGAAATTTGGCACATGTAAACGCAGCTAGTGACGACTAAAGTCGTCATTTTAGATCCAACCGTTCACTGTCAATGATGACTAAAGTCGTCATTTGCAATTTTTTACTGTTTGAAAATCGGAACGATCCCCTGCACTGAGAGAACAAACATCTCAGCCCTGAAGCCGATCTTCATCCGCATACGTCACGTGATGAGGAAGCAGAACATCAATGTGTTAGGAGATCGTTTTGGGCCGTTCCTGTAAAAAAAAGTGAGGCGCGAACCGGAAAAGCATCTGCCGATCACAATTCGACAACGGATTATGAAAGAACGGATAATGCTGAAAACACGCAGATTCTTCCAGATGTAAGAGGTGAGTCTCCGCTTTGTTTTGGTTGTCTTGGCGTCTACATCATCCTAGCACACAACGTTCTGTGACTCTTAAAAAAAACAGTAAAAACTGTGATAAATGCTGGCAGCGAAGGCCGTTAGCGATCAGGAAACAGCTGGCAGTGAATGAGTTAATGTTTCAGTTCAATTCTGAAGCCACATATATAATTAGTTTCTTAATTTAGGCTAAAATGATTTAGTGGTTGTCCAGTACTGATCTGTATTTCTGTTTTTCCTTAGAATCTTCGGTGCAATCCTCATGCACAGACACGCTCTCCTTGTCATCTTTTTCATCAGACAGCGAGTTGTCTGTTCTGTCCCCTAAAAGACGTTGCATTGATGAAACCATGATGATGTCCCCATGAAGAGACAAAATGATGACACTTCTTTACAAGCCAAAGAGGTGACATTTTCAATTC